ATCCCTCAATCTATGTTCCGGTTCTTACCCGGTCCGATCACTTTTCTGGTTCGGGCCCCCTTCCATTTTCAAAACATTGCGACAAGCGACTTCATACTAGGGTTTTTTCAATTGGGGTGCTCTGACTTGAAAGAATTCAAAACCCCCTAAATCTCAAAACCCTCATCGATCCTCACTATAGGTACTTCTCATTTGTATCTTATCTGAGTGTTCTGAGTGTTTTTCTTATCGATTATCTTCAACTGATTCATTGTTGATTTACATCCATAGGAGAAGCAAATGAGCAGCACAGTACAGAGAACTCCTAAATCTGGAAGACAATCGTTGTTCTTCCATGACTTAGCTTCTCCAATTTCAAACCGTAAAGGAGGCAAATTCACAACTCCAGGTCAAGCAGCAGCTGTTTCAGCTCTGTGGCGCGAGAATTTTGCAACCTCCGATCTGCCTCCTCCGCCCGTGTTCACCCTCGAAGATCGCTCGGACTTCTCTCCGGAATCTGGAATTCCGGACTATCCCATGTCTTCGGAAAGCAATTTAGGGTTTAGAACTCCTGTCCAGAGCTCGGGAGGCCAGTTTTCGACCCCGAGAATGAAGGCCGAGGCGAGCACTTCGTATGCTGTAATTGGTGGTGGGCAGCAGCTGCAAAATCCGCAGAGCCCTGTGGGGAGTTTGAGTTGGTGGTCTCCTGGGAAGAGTGGTGAGCAAGATGAGAAGGGCAAGGGTTCTCCAGTCGAGGCTGTAGTGCAGCCGGGTGCTTTGATTATCTTACCGCCTCCAAGGGATGTTGCGAGACCGGAAATGCAGAGGAATTCTTTGCCTGTGGGAAATCTTGATGAGGAAGAATGGGTCACTGTTTATGGGTATTGTATTGTTCTAACTATCCCTTTCCATGTAATTGTGATTTGGTTATGGTCTGTTCGTGCTCATCTATGCAGTTTTTAATGTCATGGCTTAATTTTTCCAATGATCATGACAAGTTGCATATTTTTGTTGCTCATTAAGAAAAGAAAAAGAGGACAAGTTGTTGCATAATTGTAAAGAATTAGCTGATTGTAGATGATGATTTTCGCCTATTGCTGCTTTTGGGTGAAATGTTAGGGTGATTGAAGATGGGATGATTTCCAGTACTAAACTATCTCTTGGGTCTTTGTTTCTATGGGTGTCAGTCATTGAGGGGTTTGTTGGGGGCTTCATTTGGTTTTCTATTGAGGAATAAGGAACAAAATTTAGTTTCATTTCCATTAAAATAGTCAAAACGTTTTTTGTTTTATGGGAAAGTGACATGAAACACTAGTGAAAAGTTGAAAATTAGTGTTTCTACCAAAATATTTATATATAAAAAAAAAAGATTGAGAAGAAAAAAATAGAATCACAAATATATTAGAGAGGAGAAGAGAAATAGTGCATGGTTCACTTACTCCTTTTTCTTTGTTGGTACAGGTGTCTTGTTAGATATCTAGATTGGACTATTTTTAGTGAATTTAATATTTGGTTGGAGAGACTGGATAAAGATAAATGTTCAAAAGACTATTTTATTCTTGTAATTTATAATTTAACAGCACTAAAAAATTTTAATTTTTTTTTTTTTTTTTGTATACATATACTTATTTGGGTCTCAACATCTATTAACATCGATTCTCTACTTTTTTATTTACTTTCTCTATCTTTTTACATATTTTTTTAATAAAAAATTAAAAAATATATTTATTTAAAATATCTCAAACTACCACTAAATGAAATATAAGTATATAAAAAAATATTTATAAAAAAGTGCCCTATTTTTATTTCTTTTGCTGTTAAAATTTGCATTTACAAACAAGATTCTATAATGATGATGATAACCCAACCACCGAACTACCCATTACCAATAAGTATGACGTTGAAAGATAGCTGTGACCCCCAGTCAAGAACTTGTCTTTTCTGAAGGGATTTTTCTATGGTATAAATTTTTTTATTTAATAATTATTTTCAATTGTTAAATTCGTATAAAAAATTAGTTACTGATTTTTTTAACAGAAAATTAGTTATTGATTGGTAATGAACAAAATAGGATAAAAACAATAAATTCATTTTCATTTTTGATACCTATCATTTAGTCTAATCTTACTGAGGGCTTGTTTGGGAAGTAGGTTGGAGGCTAAAATAATCAATAAAGACAAAATAGGCTAACACAATCAATGAGACAAATATCACATTCAGCCTCCGTTTGAGAAGTGGGTTAGTTTTTTAGCTTTTTAACTTTTTTAGTTATTTTAGCCTGAGCTAAAAAGCTTAGTTTTAGAAGGGTTTTTTTGACTTTTTTTTTGAAAGAAGAGTGTAATGATTATGGGTTAGATGTGATATTTTGTTTTTTGTGACTAAAATAGCATATTTTGTCTTTTGTGACTAAAATAACCCAAAAAGTCCACTTTAGTTCTTCCCAAACGGACAATTAATAAGGTTATTTTCCTGATATTTAGCTTCGTTTAAGAATGGACTTATTTAATATTTTTTTAACATTTTATAAAAAAAATATTACATAAATATATAGAATAATAGAATAATTTATAATAATCTTTTTAAATAAAATATATAATTGACAAATGAAATCTTAATTTTATTAATAATATTATCAACAATGATTTATCCCACTAAAAATATCACCACTAATAGCACTAATGCATTAAAAAAGTTAAAAAAAAAAAAAAAATACAACTCCAAGATCAAAACATCACATCATTAATGGCGAGACCCACTGCCACCTAATTAGTGGGAGCACTAATTAGTGCTCCCAAGCATTTTTCTAACATTATTAATACAATAATACACACGTGCAATAAGTGACAGCAATGGCCACATATGAATTTATGGGGAGTGTTTTGACAAGTTGGATTTTAATATTTTTTTGGTTAAAATTTATTAAAAAAAATAAAAATAAAATAGGTTAAAACAATTAATAAGATAAAATCTTACATCAAATTCATAATCACTTTATTTTTTTTCACAAATATCACATCTACTTACAAAAAAATTCAATCATCTTTTCAAACATAAAAATTTTAACCTACTAAAATAATCAAAAACAAAAAATAACCTACTAAAATAATAACTTTCCAAACACCCACTATATATATCTAATTGAGGGAAATTTTCCTATAAACACCTTTACTTAATGTATACTTAAGTTATATTATTATTATTTTTAATTATAATTAATTTTATTTTTTAGTTATGATTATCTTTTAGTTATGATTCGTGAGATTGTTTGTTATGCATCATATATTATTAAGTTATGACTTCTTCTTTTTTAAAATTATAACTTAAAAAATATAAAATTATTCAATTTCTTTTTAGTTATAAGTTGCGTACATGTACTATTGGCTTTCTCAAATCAATAAGAGAAACAAAAATAATTTAGACCTCTAAAAGAAGAGCTCTAATAGAGCACTAATTTGTCTTTTTCTACCATCATTTTTGTCTTTTACTTCACTGTTTTTTTTGTTTTGTTTTGTTTTTTTTTTTTATTGGTTGACAGCTCATTAGAGCTGTCCTTTTCCAGCTCTAATTAGAGCTCCGGAGCATCACCCTAAGAGAAATGGCTGGTAGCTCGAAACCTCGAGGGTCGAAAATGGCTCGAAATCAAAACGTCGCCGTTTTGATTCGATTTTTTTTTTTTTTCTTTTATATGTGAAACGCAAGAAGAAAGGGAGAAAGAGAGGGAAGGAGGGAGAAAGAGAGAGAGAGGAGAGAAGAAAGAGAGAGAAAGGGAGAAAGGACGGAGCCGATCTGATCTTCCTTCCTCTTCCCCGATCTGATCTTCCTCTTCCACTTTGCCCTCGCCATCACCGGCGACTGCCACACCGGCAGATCTGAAATTTTTTTTTAAAAAAATTGTTGATGAAGATGTGTTCATGAAGATCCAGATCTGAAGGTAGGAAGATCAGATATTTTTTTTGATCGGCCATATCTGTTTTCTCGGCATTTTTTTTTCTTCTTCTTCTGCCTTTTCTTCTTCCTCTTCATCAGAAAAACGCAGAAAAATTGTGTGTGTGTGGGTGATTTTACTGCTGCTGCTGCTGCTGTGTGTGTGTATGTGTGGGTTTGGGTTTGATTTGTGTGGGTGATTTTCCAGATTTTCCAGATTTGTGATGATGTTGATGAAGATGTTCATAATCTGAAAATTTGTGATGATATATTGATGAAGATGAAAAAAATTTGGGTCTTTGTTATTCAGTGAACGCTAGACTTGGTGTCCAAACCTTCTCCTCATATCACGTGGTAACTTTTATCCTAAAATAAAAAATTATTTTACAAAGACAAAAATAAGATTTGAATTCAAGATCTTAGGTTGTGTTTGCTATGCAGTTCTAATCATGATTCTCTACTCATATTTGAGTGTGATGTTTGGATATTACTTTGAAAAATTAATTCCACACCCACTTTTACAAACCCATTTCAGGTGGAGTTTTGAATTTTGAAATTTGGCCTACTCAGTCCTCCTAGTTGTCCGGCCGGTTGATCGGAACAGTGTTTTTTTTTTCTCTCCGACACCAAAACGACGTCGTTTTGGTGTCGAGCCACAGTCGGGCCACAAAGTTTCGAGCTACGAACCGGAACTGAATCAATAATCTGTGACGGTGCATTTTGTTTCCTATCCACACAAACGAATAAATTGTTAATTTTGTGCACTAATGATATTGAGAAAATAAAATATTTAAAATTTATTGATTAGATCATTTTGTGTGATATATATCAAATTTAAATTTACGCAGTAAATCTAAATTCAGAACTTTTTTAAAAAATATTTTTTAAGCGATATAGCATTCTTATATTTGTGTCTTGTTATTTTTCTTGTTAAGGTGCCGAAACAGCACTTAGTTGATCCAAATTTGAGAGTGTCTGGTTTATTATTACGTTTAAATGGAATAATCACTAATTCTTATGTTTGGGTCGATAAAAAGAAATGAACATTACAAATAAGATCACAATTTGCTAATTAAGAAAATTATTGAAATGGAAAAAAAATAATTACTTCACTCCTACTCAAAAATATTCCAACATACCAAATAGATAACTCATTAAGATGGGTTGGTCCTCCAAATATAGAGGGAATAAGAGAAGTATAGTAGGATCTCTATAACAATTCATTTTATATTTTTTATTGTATTACAAATAATGTTTAATATGCAAATTTAATTTTTATAAAATTGGTATCATTAAAAAGAGCGAAATTATACTTTTAAAACGAGTATAATATTAAATATATTTAACAAAAAATTAAATTTTAAATATTTATTAATGAATAAAATTATTCACTTTTTGATGATAATATTTTGGAGTGAAATCTTTAGAGAGAAAAATGAAAATTTGTGGTTGGAGTTTGAGTGAATAATGAGATACTCTATATTCACTCTCTGAATAAAAAAATCTATTTTCATCTCCTAATTGAAATGTTGGGTTGGAGATACTCTCACGCGAGCAAGGAGCTCACTTAGGCTATGTTTATTTTGTTGCTTGTGTGGTCGGATTGGAATACCATGGTTGTGGGTCTCACTCACAGCATGTTTGGTAGTGAAATAATAGGGCAAATTGATAGTCCAAAGGGCTTAATAATTCCCCTCAATAAGGGGATTAACTTAGCTGAGTTTTGGGTGGAATTAAGAAAATAGTGAGAGAATTAAATCTATTTAATATAAAAAAAAAATACCAAATACACCTGTTTAATAATCTCATCACTAACTGTCTCTCATATTATTATTAAAACAAATATACTTTTAATTAATCTCTTCACTAACAATCCTCATATTAATAATTTCTTCACTAACTATTATCTAATTGACAATCTTTTCCAATCTAATTTGTCAAATAAACGTGACCTTAATGTCAAATTATTTATTTATTTATTTATTATTTATTATTTTATTTTATTTTATTTTTTAGGCAACAAGAGAAATAATTACCTATCATTTGACATGATAAGAAAACCCGGCAAATCATACTTTTAAAATTTGACTTAGGCCAAGTTTGACGAGTTAAAAAAAATTTAAAAGTTAAAAATTATTTAAAAAATTAAAAAATTATTATTATTTATTAAAAATTAAAAATTACAGCTACATAATTTTTAATTTTAATTTTCTCTTACACACTAATTTTTATAATTTTTTAATATACATTTTTTCATAAAAAGTTAAAAAATTAACCCAAACATTCATATTATTTTCATCAATTTTTTTATCTAAAAAGACAAAAAATATATTTATTTAGAACGTCCCAAACAACCTCTTTAAATTTCACAATTGGGTGGGTTCTAGTAAGCCTTCAGAAACTCTCATCAAGTAAAAAATTGGCACCAATGGTTTATTTTTGACATCCCTGTAAAGGTTCCATAGCCCTGTTTAATTCTTGAATATGGAGGGTTGGATTGGA